GTCTATATTTAAAAAATTTACTCACCTCCATGCTTTTCAACTTGACTCTTTCCAAAGCTAATTTCCTGTTTCGCCGGTAATTCCTTCTCCCTATCATTACATTGTTTGGCTACCTGCTGTGTTTTTGTAAGGTCAATAGATGTTCTTGAAACCAGATTTGAACTCCTGCCGACCAGAGCCCCGGCATTGCTGTACTGATGACGCAGACGTTGTTTTCGTTTTTCTGCTTGTGCTCTAAGGCGATGGTCTGACATTGTTAAGGATTCGTCCGATCGGGATCGAACGTGCACGAAAGCAGGAAGATGAAGCATGCATTCCTTCGTGTAGACAAATAAAGTAAAATAAAACTAAGTTTTAGATGCTCCTATAGTTAATTTAGATTAAGCAAAAGGGAAATAAACAGTAATTGGGTTGATTCTCGTTTATGACGGCAAAACAGCTCAGTGATTTGGATGCGTAAGAACATTTTACTTGAGTAAATACATTTATATATGTAGAACGCAATGTGATCGTCAGTTCAACAATATGCAACTTATATGATTTATTCGATATTATATAATGTATAAGATAAATAAGGTTGAAAGATAATGAAAAAAGAAAGCTAAATTCTAATCTAGTAGTTTTCAGTTCAACATAAATTTAATAGGTCTATGTATAGAGAAACTGTAATGTTTGAGTTAAGCTATTACATGCGTTATTTAATTAGATGAGGTAGACATAATAACCATCTCTGTTAGGTTCAATGCATACCCTATGTGTATTTATTTCCGTCGTTGGAATATCATGCCTCGAAAATTGGATTCCTTTTGATGCGACAGGGAGCTCCTCTTGAAAATTTTGTTTTCTGGCACGTCCAAGAATTTTTTTCTTATGGTTATGACAGACATGATATTGATGTTGGTTTTTCTGATTATGGTCCTGATGAAGTGGCATGTTTTCTCTTGTTTGAGCATTCCTACCATGTTGACCTGCCTGGTTTGAAATCCTAGTGATCATTCGGCTCGGCAGTAGATCCTTTGTAGCCTGAGAAGATGTAAAGGACCGAAATAGTAATATTAATCAATCAGCACCGATTGGGGCTCAAAATTACAATTTAAAGTCCTTCGGTAAAACTACTTAGGTTGTTAAGAAGCAAGTTGACTTAATGCTTGTAGATTTACATAAATTCACTTTTGGGTAATCAGAAAAATAAAGGTATAAAATCTATTGAAATACAATGTTTCTAGGACAAGCAAGACGAATTTGTCCAGTCTCTATGCAACTGAACCCATGCCTGGCCCTGTTTAATTAACTTTTATTTTATTAATAAATCTCCCCAGAATAAAAGAAAAAGGTGGACTATTAAAGCATTAAATAACTTTCAGTAAGCTAGATATAAAGCACAGGTTTTTACTTAAATTAAGCGGTAAATATTTAAAGTGGATAATTCTGGCACTAAAATATATAAAAATTTCCTTTGTGCAATCAGTTTCTTAGGTTTATATATTAATTACCCACAAAATAGCGCATTAAAGTAGTTAACCTGAAAACTAACACTATCTATCCATTCACGATTGGCAGAAATAACCTGTGCCAAAT